TTATTATTATTATTATACGACTACTACTATTATTATGGCTGTGCTTAACTCTAACTAGAACATCAGTGATCATATCAGTTATAGTATACGTTTCACTTTATATATTTTGGAAAGCTTCACTTGTCATTGTATTCTATCATTTGAAAGGGGTAATTATTTTGTTCTCCATTGACAGTTGGGTAGACAACATGTTAAAAGAGGATATTTATTTTCACAGGAAATAAAGCCAGTGAAGAAGTGGCCAACTATGAGCCAGGCATTCATAAACCAGCATACAGTGGAACACAAAGGAAAACAGATTTGTAAATATTTCCTAGAGGCACGATGTATTAAGGTGGATATATACTTATATTGTCTCTGGGAAAGTGGGAGGAATTAAGTTTATTAATTTTTTTAAAACTACATAAGGAATTTTCAGGCTGTGTTTTTAATGTATTCAGTATAAAAAGGCATTAGAGAAAACTGTCATAGAATTTCAGCAAAAGCTATGATAAAATGATTGGTATCCACAGTACTTATAAAATCCAGTGTGAGCTTCATGTTTAGTATTGAATGTGTAATATATAAATAGAAGTTATCTCTTTTAAGAAAGTTTGATGGTTTATATTGACACCTTTGTTCTAATTGTCTGATGTTATGCATTTTTGTCACTATCTGAGTTGCATTAGCAGCTCTATGCGTTACTGACTATACATGAGTAACCAATAACAGTAATTGTGTGCTATTGTCAGTTCTGACTTGTACAGACCCTTTCCAGAGTTTTCTTGGTAAAGAGTACTCAGAAGTGCTTTACCACTGTCTTCTCTTTGGGCTACCCTGCAGTTGTACAGCATGTCCAAGTCACACAGGCTGGCTCTGCTCACAGCAGGCACAGAGGGGAATTGAACTCCCAACCCATATGTAACTTACTGAGCTATACAGCCAGCTTCTGAGTAATTACAAACTATTTAATTACCATGTAAATACAATTCTGCTATTTAGTGAGGTTTTTTCCACTGGTGGAGCTGTTTCTTTTAGTTGAGCTAGGATAGGGATAAATCTCTCCTTTTCTGTATACTTCAAAATCTGCTCCAGAGCAGATGGGGAAGTGCAGAAGGAAGCAGAGTGGGCTCAACAGTGGGAGGAGAAAGGAAAAAAGGCTCATTTCATTAGCAGACATTGGCTCATGAGAGAGATCAGCTTCTCCTTGCAGTGATTTTTATGATTAGTTTGCCTTGTTTTTTCATCTCTTGCTTGTAAAGTTAACTTTAACTTCAACCCATGGGGGAAAAAAGTTGAAAAGCAGAAGATTATGTTTATCTAGAATATTGTCATTGTAAATTCAACTTGGAATGCAAGACTTTCACAGAACTGATCATCTTTCTTTTTATACACACAGGGAGACCAATGTAAATTTGATCATGATGCAGAAATAGAGAAGAAAAAGGAAATCTGCAAGTTTTATATACAGGGCTATTGTTCCAAAGGGGAGAAGTGCATTTACATGCATAATATCCTTTGACAAAATCATTCTAGTAATACTGAAATTAAAGCTCTTATAGTTATTTTTTTTAAAAAAATCACTATACTTGTGATGCCAACATTTGTTGTCAGATATCTTATTTCATGTCATCCCCAACTTATCTTCCTGAATTTGTGACCTATTTGGCTGAGCTGGATATTTTGAGAACTGTTTGCTGTTGTGCTGAAGTTTTATGGAAGGTGAAGGCAGCATCTTGTTGCTACTCCTTTCTGCGGAAGCTAAAAAGGAAGGGACTATAAACTATTCCTCTTTCCTCAGAGATTGATAGGGCAAGATTGAAAAAGGAGGAATGGATTTTCTGTTAGAATTGGAGTTTTCTCAAAAAGCATCAGCAACACCATCTTGTTGCTCTCATCCCTTACAGAATGGAAGGGTATATAAAGAGAGGTATACAGTGGTGCCTCGCATAGCGACGATAATCGGTGCAGCAAAAATCGCTGCAAAGCGATTTCGTCGCTATGCGATATTAAAAAGCTCATAGGAATGAATTGAAACCCCTTCAATCCGTTCCTATGGGCTTCAGACTCACCTTTAAATGAAAATCCTCCATACGGTAAGCGAGGAATCCGTCCCAGAAAACAGCGGGCAGCCATTTTTTTTAACCCGGCGGCCATTTTGGAACCGCCGATCAGCTGTTTAAAAATCATCACTTTGCGATGATCGGTAAGCGAAACAGGGTACCAATCATCGCAAAGTGATTTTTCCCTATTTAAAACATCGCAAAAGCGATAGCAAAATCTTTGTTGCTATGCGATTTCATCGTTAAACAGGGCGCCCGTTAAGCGAGGCACCACTGTATATAAGAGAGGCAGTCCCCCACCCACCCTATGTTCTGGTTTGGTTGGAAGCAGCAGGTGTGCTGAGTACACAGTTCTGAAGGGGGAGGGTCTTTCCTGCATATTGTATAATGGGAGGCAACAGGAAAAGTGTATTTATCATGTACAGAAGAAAGAACTTACTTTGTGGTGGTGTCCCAATATTTAAGATTGTCCTCTCACAAGAGGTTTATGTGTCACTACTGTGGGCCCTCTCAGGAGAGTTTCGAATAATGTTTAAATGTAACATGTTTAATAAAGTAATAAATTAGTGTGTGAAAGGGAGGAAATTGTATTCATAAGGTTAGCTGAGTTTGCTTCATCCTATCTTGTGAGCTCTTAAGAACAGATCTATAGAGAACCCGTTGAACCAACCCCCTCACCAGTGAAAGCAATCCTGCAAATAGCAGTGTGAATGCCTGCAGTCCCTTTTAGAGCCCTCCCCACTTCCCAGTGCCTGTCAGAATAAGATGTTGATTACTGTTACAATTGTTACACTTGTTAAGAATCCTAAATATTAGTTTACATGAATTTCCTTGCAAGTTCTACCATACGGGGGCTAAGTGCTATCATGGTGACAAGTGCAAGTTTTCTCATGATCCATTAAATAAAGATACAAAAGAACTACTTGATAAGGTGAGTAATTTTCCTTTTGTTAATGGAATGTGCACTTTCATACTTCTGTTGTGATGATACTGTTTCCTAAGGTTGTTTTTCAAAAATGAGACAAGCCAGTAATTGCTCAGTTCTAACTAGATTTTCAAAGAAATGTGGACATGTTCACTGAGAAGTGCTTTGTACATAAATTACAGTGTAACAACAAGCCACATTTTCCCCATTCTGTAGACCTATTCTTTGCTACAAAAAGGTAGAATGTCATTTGGTAACAGTGTGTTTTTATACTGAGGCTCTACTGTGGCTTACAACTAAGCTCTTAAAAGATTTACCTAGTGAGTTGTTGACCATGCATTGAAATGAGAAGGCTCATCCTGCCTTTTCACCTTATTACCTGTTCTACCACTGTAACATAAAGTCTAGGTAGTGAAGGAATACCTAATGCAGTAGGCAGCCTAAATAAATTAATTTCCTTGGTCATTACTACCTGTGGTATGTGGTAAGCTGAGATAGTTGGGATGGCATCCATGAATTTTAAAAAGCTGTTCCCCATGTGAGGATGGAGGCAGGACCATCAGCATCCCTGCCAGAGTGCCGTCCCTTCCACCTGGATCAAGTGGAGAACCAAAGAGAGAAAGGGCTAAGATGATGTGGAGGGTGGCCACCTCTGCTGGGAAAAGAGAAGAGCCAAAGATAGAAAGAGAGGCAAAGGAGACATATGAGTCCTGTGTTAAAAATGGGAACAACTGAACGGGAGGTAGTCAACCTGCTGTGAAGGACAGAACAAAAGGAGAGGAAATCACAGGACAGTTGGAAAAGGCAGGAGGTGGGAGGAGAAGGGGAGGAGATATATAAGATGAGAGGACAGAAGAAGGTGGTGGAAGCTGATGAGGCAGAATCCTGAAAAGGTCCAAAGGCCCTTCCCCCAGGATGGGAATGAATTTGGTTGAAAACCCTGGACCAAAAAGTGGGAACATTTGATGGTACCCAAAGAAGAAGCTGAGCAGAGGAGATAAGAGGTAAATTCTGTTAAACCCTCTTGATCAGATCCAACAGTGGTGGACATTCCTTTCAGAAAGGGATCTGGACAATTCGAGTTTAGTGTTAGTAACCCTTTTTTTGATTAAGAAAACAACCTCTTTTTTACATCATTTCACCAGGAGGAAACCAAGTTTGTGTCAGTTGATGTCAGCAGTTTTTTAGATCTACCAGGAGTAAATGTTGAAGGTCTGGAACCCAAGAATGTGTTTATGTGTGAGAGTGATACAGCAATCTTTAATAAGAGGTGGAGCCGGGACACTCACACTTCACATTATAACTTTATATATCCCTTCTATGTTTTATCTTACTTGACCCATATAAAGAGAGACTGGAAGATGTTGTATATGTTGTTTTGGGGTTTTTGTATTGTTTTGTTTTTTGTTTTTGCTTTTTTCCTTCAGAGGTGTAGCTTCATAAGTTTGTAAACTCTTGGGGAATAAAAATGGCTAATACAGTGGTGCCTCGCTTAACGATTTTAATTGGTTCCAAAAAAACATCGCTATGTGAAAACATCATTAAGCGAAACACCATTTCCCATAGAGATGCATTGAAAACCAGATAATCCGTTCCAATTGGAATGGATTACCATCCTTAAGCGAAAATCCCCATAGGAAAAAACATTAAGCAAAACCCATTGAAATGCATTGAAGCCTATTTCAATGGGGGGGGGGGAATTAACAAAAAATTCAAAAAGACTCAGAACAAAGCCAAATTAAGTTAACGAAGGTTTTATTAGGTGCACTAACGATTCCAAGCATTTTAAACATTTTTAAAACATTTTAGAATATTTTAAAAATAGCAAAAACGGGGCTGTAAAAAAAACGTTAAGCGAAACAAGGGGACCTAAAACTGTCATTGTTAAGTGAAGCATGGTCCCGATATCGTTAAGCGAAAATCGCCCATAGGGAAAATCGTTATGTGAAGCACAAGATCACTCCGAAAAAGCCATCATTAAGTGAATTTTTCGTTGTACGAAGCAATCGTTAAGCGAGGCACCACTGTACATAGAAACAAAGCTCAGTAAATTCATATCTTCCCCCACCTCTGCAAGCTTTGTGTATTACAGATATGCATGCCAACAAATTGAATAACAGCTTAGCTGTAAGTCTTGACCTTCCATCTTTGCTTATTTATTTTGGTGGCCAGATTGGGCCAGTATCCTATTCAGAATGGAAAGGTAGTTGTGTAATTGTTCCTCCATGCTGACCAGTCCCATTTTGCATGGCCAGTTGTGCAGTCATCATGAGATCAGACCTTTCAAAGGAGAGCCTACTAGACGGGAGGAAATGCTTAGGGAATCACCTCAAAAGGATCCTGCCCTTTATTTTTAGCACCATATGATGATGTATACATTATACATTCAATCATTACCTTGTGTTAGAAACCACTAAAAACCCAAATAAATTTTTAAAGTTTGATTTGGGATAATATGAATGCCGGCAAGTCAGTACAATGCATTGCTGTCTTCTACTGTAAATATGCAGAAACCAACTTCTCTCTGGTACATACCTCTAATTCTAAGCTGGAAATAGAGTCAGAAGCTTATCACAGCTCTGTACAAGTGCAGATCCAAATCAGACCGCAGGGTTTAGCAGAACTTTGGGGCCAGGTTAACTCCCTTTCTTCTTTAACTTAGAGATTCAACTGATACCAACGCTAACCTCATTTCAATACAAAGTTTAAAACAGTTATTCATGAAAGTCTTCAGAGATTAAGGATTGTGGCTTTGTGGAGGGTCCTCTAATGTTTTTAATATATGTAATTATAATGTTTTAAATAATTTTAAAGTACTGAATTGTTTTATATTGTTTTTGTTGTACTGTGCCATGGGATCTACATGTAGTGTGGATTATGAACGCCCCAAATAAATTAACTACCTGAAGATGAATTATCATCAAAAGCTCACTGTTGTTCTTGTTTATTGGTTCAGTACAGATATCGTCTGTTCCTGCACTTTTATAACAAACTAACTTAAGTTCAGGTTTATGGGAGCTGGTCTTGGCCCAGAGCCCAGATCCCCTCTTGCCCTAGTAAGGGTGATGAGTGAAGTTATTGGACCCTGACCATTTATGAAAATAACTAAAATATTTGTTTCCTGTTGAGGAACCCCTCATTTTTATTTTTGGATCTCTGATGACATAAGTTTAGATGGTGGTCTGTGGTCTGTTTGAGCTACAATTTTAGGATGCAATGTGCCCACACCTAGGCCTTCATAGGCTAGGAGGGATTTTGAAAAGTGGTTCTAAATTATTTTGAGATGAATTGAGAATTTATTTGAGATAAATTGTTGGTATGTTACTCTTGTTCAGATCATGTCCTCTCTTGAGCCTTCAGAAACAGGCAAGATAGAATCTCAAAGTACATGTGCTGTGGGTTTCTGTAACTGCCACCAAAATATAAAAACTTTCCACTGTGTTTCTTAGGTTTTGAATACTGAAGAGGAGCCACAAAATGATGATGAAAGAGAAGTTGAAGAACTTAGGAAGCGTGGCATAGTCCCTCTTCCTAAGCCACCCCCAGGAGTTGGGCTTCTACCAACCCCTCCAGAGCCATATTCATTTACTGAGGAAGATGCAGAAAACTTTCAGGATCCCTCTGGGGAATTCAAGAAAATTCCTTCTCTGTTTGAAATAGTAGTGAAACCTACTGTGGATTTAGCACACAAAATTGGAAAAACGTAAGTTTTACAGTTACCAACATTGCACATCAGGGTTTAGTAAGTCTGTAAAGGAATTCAGAAAATTTGTAGCCTTCTAGGAAGCTTACAGTAAAAGTGTTAAGGACTGTAGCATAGCACCACATTTTTGCTAATGGGGAACCCTTGTTCTAGACCAGCAAATGGAAGTGGGGGGCATAAATGCAACTAAAACATCACTGAACTCCTGCCAGGACCCAGCTGTCTGTATTATTTTTATTAATATTCCCTTCTTTTTTTCAAATAGACCCAGAATGATGCACAACACAAAAACAATACCTGTAACAATAAAATGCTTTATACAAATGATAAAATACAGCGGTGCCTCGCTTAGTGATGTTAATTCATTCCAAAAAAATCGCTGCTAAGCGATAACATCGCTAAGTGAAAATAAAAAGCCCATAGAAACGCATTAAAACGTGATTAATGCATTCCTATGGGCTTAAAACTCACTTTAAGCGAAGATCCTCCATAGCGCCGCCATTTTCGGTGCCTCTAAAGCGAGGAATCCGTGCCTGAAAACAGTGGGCGGCCATTTTGAAACCGCCGATCAGCTGGCCGAAAATGGGGGCTTTGCGATGATCACTTCCCTGCGATCATCGCAAAGCAAAATTCACCCATAGGGACCATCGCAAAGCAATCGCTTTTGCGATCGTAAAAACAGCGACGCTAAGCGATTTCGCTGTAAAACGGAGTGATCGCTATGCGAGGCACCACTGTTCAGTAAAAACCTAGCTACAATGTACACATTAACATATAAAAATGTCCTGATTACCTTGAGAGCCCTATTAGGATTGCTAACATCAGTTCCAGCTTGACAGCATGCCGCACGTAACATTTATGATTGAACTGCCACCTTCATTTAATAATTATTGCCTGTTTGGATCTATTGTGTTATAAGACTATCCACAGTCTGATTTCCATATGTATCCCGAAATGTTCTTAAACTAATATTCTGTTTTACAGTCCACCAGCATTCTATAACAGCTCGTCACCACCAGGACCAGAGTTTGAAGGAAATGATTCACATATGTACAGTGTAGAGTCAAGCCCAGGATGTAATGGACCTACGGGGCTTCCAGGTTCCCCTGGGCATCCTTGTACAGGTCCAGCAGTGCCACAGAGTCCACCGCTGCAGCCAATGCCTCCTGGTTACTTAGGACCACAAGGACCTATACATGGACAGCAAGGCGGTCCACCTTTAACACCACCTGGTACATCTTACGGCTGCACAGTTGGTCAAGAACATATGGCAAACATACCCAGAGACAATCATTGCCCACCTGGTCCACCATATCAGCAGATTCCTGGTGAACGGCAGCCGAATGCTAATTATGAGTCTCATCAGCATCCAGCTAACTTCTATGACAATTACTATTCCCACCAAGCTGTTCATAACTTCCAGACAACCAATAATGCTGGTGGTAAGTTTTACTAGATGATGTTTACAAGTGTTTTATCTGAACAATTGTATTTGTTTGAAAATATTATAATGGTACCTCGACTTAAGAACTTAATCCGTATTGGAACTGTGTTCTTAAGTCGAAATGTTCTTAAGTCGAAGCACCATTTCCCATAGGAATGCATTGAAAACTATTTAATATCTGCTGTTTTTCATTCTTAAATTGAGGCGCTGTTCTTAAGTCGAAGAGTTAGTTCCCATAAGAACTAATGCAAAGCCAGTTAATCCTTACTCTACCACTAGGGGGCAAATTTTTCTTCTTTTTTTGACCTGAGGTGAACTTAGGTCAAAAAAACAGCCAGAAAGGTTTTGTTTTGTTTTGTTTTTTTCTTAAATTGTCGGTCCGTTCTCAAGTCGAAGCAACTTTTTGCGAACGGAGCCATTCTTAACTCGAATCGTTCTTATGTAGGGACGTTCTCAAGTCAAGGTACCACTGTATCATTGCTTATAATCTGCTAATTTTGATCCTTATCATTCAAGATTTATAATGTTGGTCAGAATCCTGTTACTTGTGCCAATCAGTATTAAATCCATTGGCATAAATCTCAGCAGTGAACACCAATAGCAGTACTTGGCATGCAACACCTAATCCCTTTGCTGACTTCTTAACTGGAGAAATTCACTGCTAAAATTGATTAAAAAAAATTCAGTTGCGATCTGTCCAGTATTTTGAAAAGGCCTGTTATTATGATTATTATGATCCAGTGCTGGGAGGGATGACATATCTGCATCATGGACTCCTGGAGGTTCAATACATTCTGCCAGAGTACATTGCTCCCGTGGAATTACTGTATAGTTAAGGGGACCTGGACATCCAGGTTCATCTGAGGGATGTGTTACATTTATTATAATAGTTTCCTCTGCTGAATATAGCACTTAGGTTGTCTTGTAAAAGCGACTAGCAGCTAGTTATTTGAATGCAAATTGACCACAGATCTTCTAGTTGCCAGCCTCCCAGCCCTCTGCCACACACACACACCTTTCCCCCCCAAGTATTCAGGGCTCCTTCAAGCACATAAAACACACATATAAAACTGCCTCATATGGACTTTCCCAGTAGGGAGAATGCCAATTTCGATACTGTTGCTTCAGAGGGAACAGCTGGTTGCTGTCTTAGGCCCTGGTAGCCACAGTGCTGTAGCTGCCCTCCCTGTACAGTCATCTATCAACCTACAGCCCTTCCTCTAACGATGATAGAACTGGGAAGGTAGAAGAGATCACCACACATTGGCTAAGACAATTTCCACCCACTGTCAAGTGTCAAACATTTGGAGGAAGGGTGGTTTCCTATCACACATGCCTGAGATTGGTGGTATATTTATTGTGATGAATGGAATAGTTAAAGCCTTCTTTACATAAGAGAAACTAAAGGGTACGCCCAGAGGTGCTACAGAGGTGGGACCCAAGACTACTCTGTGTACCTGGTGACCCCACCCACTGAAAATCAAGCCTGCTCTCATTCATACAGTCTTGCCTATGTGCCTGCTTAGCCAGCTAGACTATGGTTATCTTTCTTATTCAATAGATAACAGAATGTTAGGAACTTACATTAAAGAGATAGTTTGGACTTTAATTGTTGTTCATCTTTCAACACCAGTATTAATTCTTTGTAACGTTGAATGCAGATGGTATGTGGCAAGGAGAATTTTCAGATCACCAGCCTCACCGCATTTCCCCAGATTCACATAACAGTGGAAATGAATACGAATCAGACTGTGCCACTGCAGGAGGCCACCATTCAGCTATTAATGTACCAGACTTCCTTCCTGCAATGCAAAAAGCGCTTTTTGTAAGGCTAAGTCAAAAACAACAAGATGATGGAGAACAGATGAGCAGTCGATGTCAACGGCTGCTGAGCAGAGAAGAAGGTATTGTTGATTTTCTCATTTTTAAAACTATTTTGTAAGTTGGCTTCTTGTATATCTCTGAATATTGCATACGTGGTCCATAGCTATTTTCTTCATATATTTTTCTCAAAATGTTTTCAGTCAGTTCTAGCTTAGTCCAGAGAAAAAGGTTCATTGACTAATTCCATTATAAAAGTAAGGCAGTTTCATTCCTGCCTCCCCCAGAAACTGCAGGGTTACTTCTTCATGGGATTTCCCCCCCTGCATTCACAGCCATAATGCACAGTGGCTGTAACTGCTGTCATCCTTGTTTTTTTCCATTGACTAAGGAAAACAATTGTTTGTTTTATAACAATTATTTACAGTGGAACCTCTACTTACGAACTTAATCTGTCCCAGAAAATGTTTGTTAGTTGAAACGTTCATACGTAAGTAGAAGCAAAATTTCCCATAGGGATGCATTGAAAACCATTTACAGTGGTGCCTCGCATAGCGAGGTTAATCCGTTCCGGATTAACCTTCGCTATGCTGAAGCATCGCTGAACGGGGCAGGGATTTCCATTGGAACGCATTAAACATCATTTAATGCGTTCCAAATGGGCCAAATACTCACTGTTCAGCGAAGCTTCAGGATGGCCGGCAGCCATTTTCGCGCCCTCGCCTCGCTTAACGAGGGCGCGAAAACGCTGCGCGCGGCCATTTTGGGCCATTTCCCGGCTTCCGGCGGCCATTTTGGCCGCCGAACAGCTGATCGTCGGGGTTCGTTTTGCGAAGATCGGTAAGCGAAACGCTTACCGGTCTTCGCAAAGTGAATTTTTCCCCATTTAAAAAACGTTGAGCGATCGAAAAACGGATCGCTATGCGATTTCATCGTTATACGGTGCGCTCGTTAAGCGAGGCACCACTGTAATCTATTCCGGCTGTTTTTCGTTCGTATCTAGAGGCGCCGTTCTTAAGTCGAATCATTAGTTCCCATAGGAACTAATGCTTTGCATTAGCAAAGCCGGTTAATCCGTCGTCTATCACTAGGGGGAGAATTTTTCTTCTTTTGACCTAAGATGAACTTAGGTCCAAAAAAGAGCCAGAAAGGTTTGTTTTGTTTTGTTTTGTTTTTTTCTTAAGTTGTGGCTCCGTTCTCAAGTCGAAGCCACTCCATTTTAAACTCCATTTTAAAGCCTGCCTGCCTGCCTGCATCAACAAGCACTAACGTTTTCTTATTTTAAAAGAGACAGACCTTAACAAAAGACAGGTCACAGTACACAAACCCTAGAAGCCACAGAATCCAGCAAGCATTATTCCAGCACAGAACCCCTCTTCAAAAAAGAGGGTCTAAACTGCATTTACAGCCTACCTGCATCAACAGCCAGCACAGTCCCTCACATAATATTTTCTGATTTTAAGTAAAAAGACTGTGGAGTCGAAACTGCATTTTACAGCCTGCCTGCATCAACAACCAGCAACCATTATTACAGCAAACAGATCCCAAAGAAAAAAAGACTTTTGAGTCACATATTAAACCCACACATTTTAAAACAACAGAGAGGTCACAGAACACAAACCCTAGAAGCCACAGAATGCAAAAATAAATAAAATTTATATTTTAAAATTACAGTCTAATTTTCACATGCAATTTTAATATAATATTACAGTTTGCTTTTCACATTTTAAATCCACACTGCAAGACCCATCAGGGCACAGAAACATAACCCCCCCACTTAGCCCTACCCCCCCAAGCTGCAAAAAAACCCTGTACAGTACAGTAAATACTGTATAGTGTATGTACTCACCCAGAACAGGCAATTCTCACTTTTTTAAAAAAAGGCAAAAATCCAAAAATTAAAAAAGCAAAAAAAAATACAATCTGTAGAGTACAGTACCAGGCAGTACTAGGCAATACCAGGCAGTCTGAAGACTCTCTCCCTATCCACTCTCTAACCGCTTGGACAAGCGATGTTGCAGACAAACAGCCTCTTCGCTGGCCAAGAGTCAACTGAAAGTTCAAATTTTGCACTTTCCCCGCCTCCCCCGCTTTTTTTGTTGTTGTTCATATCTTGAAGCTCCATTCGCAAGTAGAAGCAATATTTTGCAAACAGAGCTGTTCATAAGTTGGATCGTTTGTAGCTAAGGACGTTCATAAGTAGAGGTTCTACTGTCCACTGTATATGCAGCTCATGTTGACAGAAGTGGCATACATGTATAGGAAGAAGGAAAAGTGTGCAGCTCCCACCAGAGTTGATGCTGACTGCTCCTGTGTGACTGAACCTCAGTTTCCAAGAGGAGGGTTTAAGAAAACTGATAGGCATTTTCTTCTTCATGATAATATAGAGATATGCGGTCACTTCCCTCAGTTGCAATAGCAAAAGGCTGACCTATACATTTCTGTTCCAGTATCATACTGGTATTGGTGTAAATACCTCAATGGCTGAGGTATCTTGCTGTGGAACCCGAGGTTGGGATTCCTTACTCTACTGTCCTTGACAAGGGCTGGACTCAAGTTTCTTCTTTGTGGCCTCTGTGAATCACACTCTGGGTGATCCGCGCATGCGGGGAGCCTCGTCGGAATATTCAAAAGCTTCTGTGGTAGCAAAAAAAAAAAAAATTAGTGCAGGCCCCTCCCACCTGATATATGTACCTTGGCGCCAAGGCTCTCCCTTCACTTTCTCTTCAACTGCCTCAGGATCCATAGGGTCCCTTCCAGCTCTGCAGTTCTATTATTATGATTATTTTGTTAATATTAATTACTCTGAACTAGTCTGTAGGTTTAGAAAAGGGGATGGATTACATCTGGATGCTATTTTTGCAATCCTGTAGTCCTCAGAGTGCCACACATACCCTTGGCCTTCTGGGGGAAAAGTCTGCACAAATGGTAAATTACATGCCCCAAAGTCTTTGATGGGCACAAGTTACCCTTTAGATGTAATTCTCACTGTTTCAAGCCAGAAGCCACCTTTTTACAAAACATGAAAACTTCTGATTTAAAGGGGGGAAAAACTTTTTATTCTCTTTTGCAAAAACCCTTATCTGGCTTAAAATAGTCCTGAAGAAGGGCTGCAATGTCACATACAGTCTGAAGAAAGCACTTTGCCCACTCCTGGCCTTTAACAATTACGACATGCCTCAATGTTGCATCGATAGATTTTTATTGTAGTCGGATAAGTTTGGAGGAACATATTAACAGAAGTCAGTTCTTCAGGCGATAGCTGAGCTATGCTGGGTAAAATAATTACAAATTGTTATTTCCTTAATTGTTTTTGGAATATCATCATCTTGGAACTGCAGAGCTGGAAAGGTCCGTTTGGGTCACCAAGTCCAGTCCCTGTCAAGGGGGGAATCAAGTTTCCAACCTCTGCCTTTTATCTTACTGCCTACTTTTAATTATTTATATTATGTTGTTTTAACTGATTGTGAGCCACATGAATTCCCTCTGGGGAGGAAGGGAATGAATGGATGAGCATCTTTCTCCCAGTCATCCTTTTCATCCTTTTCCCTAATCCTTACAAAGTGTGTGTGTTTTGCTCTTCCTACTATTCTAATTGAAAATCAGAAGTAGTGTATTCTCCTCTGTCTTAGCTACTTTTATTATACAGTTCCAGACTCTGCTGAGAAATTCCATTTTGTTCGTCACCGGTTATAAAAACTGTAGCATTAGAAGTATACAATATAGTTTATATCATATCTTCCTTTTCTTTTCTAGATGATAACGTAAACTGGTATTCCAGCAGTGAAGAGGAAGAAGGAAACAGTGTTAAATCAATACTGAAGACCTTAAAGAAACAAAGTGAGACATTTATAAATCAGCAGCAGTCAACAGACCAGCAGCAGCTACGTGTCATGCCAACTGACCCAAGGCTTGCTAAAGAGCGAGGCCCAGGAAGTCAAGCTGCTGATCCTAGACTGAGGTCAGCTTCAAGATCAAATGCCAGAAAGACGTCAGAGTCAGGAACCTCGGACCCTAGGCTTGCACGGGACCCTAGAATCTTAAAGAGTAATGAAACGAGTCGTGCAAGCTCATCCTCTAGTGGAGCAAAGATAGACTTGCACCACACACATCCTGGTGTCAAAGTCACACAGAAAGGACTGGATGAAGATGAGGAGGACACAGAACGAGAGCTGAGAGAGAGAGCTTTTCTAATACCATTGGAACCTCTTCCTGGGGTAACATTGCGGGACCCAAGATCTCAACTTAGGCAGTTTAGCCATATTAAAATGGACATTGTTCTGAGTAAACCCAACTTTGCTAAACATATTGTATGGGCTCCAGAAGACTTACTCCCAGTACCTTTGCCCAAACCAGACCCAGTATCCTCAATCAATTTGCCCCTTCCTCCTCTCATAGCTGACCAGAGGTTTAATCAATTACGGAACATCAAAAGTGATCCCATCCCAAATGTGTTGCCATCTGACCCACGATTAGCATCAAAAGCGAAAAATATAACTTTATCAAACAGAAGTGTCTCTTTGGATCATGCTACGGATTTGCATCCTGCAAACACAAGCAAATTAGGAGATCCTCGCTTGCAGAAAACCATTGATCCTAGACTCCATAGACTGTCCAGTACAGACTCACATCACGGAACAGTGAAAGACCCTCTGCCTTCAAAATCTGATCCCAGATTAGCCAAACCTAGTGCCGCTACATCACAGTCATCAGAAGCTACAGGTTCTCAGTCTGACTCAGATGTGTTGCCACCATATGCACCTAAGCTGTCATCTGCTAGTGCTCGACTGGGCACTCCTAGTTCAATATTAAGTGGCATTAGTTTGTATGACCCAAGAAATCAAACTTCACTGGACTCTTCTTCAGTTAATTCAGGAGAGAATGGAGAGAACCAGAAAAAGGGTATTTTGAAAAACACTGGTCAGAATGAAGCTACTCGTGTGGAAGAACAGTCACTTCAAAAATCCTCCCCACATGTAGAAAAGAACCAAGAAGCATTTGCAGAAGCTAATCCAGATAAGACAAATAGTGTCACTAAATCTCAGGCTAAACACTCCAGTCCTGCTCCAGCAGTGCACAACCTTCCCATCCAGGCTTTATCAGGGTTAATCAGACCACAATACAGTGATCAGAGACAAGTAAGGCAGCCTGGGCAGATCAGTCAAATGTCAGAAAGTGATCCAAATGGAGAATCAGATGACAAATCACTGAAGGATGTTTTCAAGACATTTGATCCAACTGCTTCACCTTTTTGTTAGCTATTGGTTTACTAAGACTTTTTACAATTGTGAATAATGCAGGTTTCTGCAGTTTTGTAATTGGTTTATCTCTATGCTTTTATTTATTTATAAATTATAACCAGAAACACTTTGGGGCTGCTATTTTCAGAACCACATGCAGTAATACAGTATGCTCTAGTGTTTGCCAAGTTGGTATTTTCTATGTGATTTTTCCCATTCATGGGAGATTAATCATTGACCTGTTTTAAAGAAAAAAAAATAGGTATATCATGTTAGATCTGAGAGAAGCACTTTCATTGTAAATAATCATAAATTGGGTTAAGTTTGAGGACTTGTATATGTGTAATGTGTCTTTTCAAAATCAGCGTTTAGAGAATGTTTGCCACTTTTGTATGATTGTACAGGTTCAAGCAATATAATGTACATTATTGTGAGAGATACTATTTAAGATGACAATTATCTAATCTATCAAGCCCAACTTGCTAAGTAAAATAAAAATACTGATCTTTTCTGAAAAAAGGCATCATTTTTTATTTGTAAAACAGATACTCCTAGTCTAAAAAATACTGTATTGCATATTGAGCTGAAACAACTTTTTAAAGTATTTTATTCTGTATGTATATTGACGATAATACAAAAGACATAACTAAAACGTTGTTAGAGTAGAAAACACCTATGCTAAATGTGTAAAAAAGTATTTACTTTCTTCATCTATATACGATTCTCAATTAGTGCTATGTTCCATTGTGGTGTTCATGTACTCAATGTATTTTTGTATTCAGCTGCTTAATTTGTATTGCTTTTTTGTATTGATGTAATGACAGTAATATGTATCTATGTGTCTATGACATTTTTAACAAATTAAAGAGTGAAAATCTCTGACTTTTCATAGAAGTGAGTAGATTCTTAAATTTCAATGCTGAAATATAAATTTCAGTGCTGGAAATTTTTCATTACTTAGCCTGTGCGATTGTTCTGTTCACAGAAGCTTATTTACTCCAGAGGAAAAGTTATTGGAGGGAGAGGGGGAAAAATCTTATACATCTCCTTCTTTCTCCTGCAACACTCTGTGCCACTATCTATGCTGTCAATCTATGCTGTCAATCTTGAGAAGCACAAGGTATTATTACAAGAGGAAGGAAGAATTGGTGAATAGGGCAGTTACCTCCATCTTGTATTTAATGGAAGGATGACATTGGATACAAACACAATTACCATTGTTCTGTTGTTCTATTCAAGAATATGTGTTCTCCTAGTTGTTTTTTCCCTTGGTTTCCACTCAGTTTTTTTATAATCAGTTAGGCTGAGATTGTTTTGTGGCTGCAATTGGCACCCAGTCTCCTATGCTAGCAGTATATCCTGCATTGAATTTGGGTGGTTGGGCAACAGCATACATAATTCATAGGTGGAACTTGGGGGGAGGAGGAAAATGATCTTTTCTGCATGTTGAAGCACAACCAGTGACTGTCCCAACCTGCTTCCGGACAGAAGTAATGATGTTGATGTTTGTGTTTCTCTTGGCTTATTCATGAATAATTGAAAGCGCTTTCAACCAGCGTTCCCCAAAAGCACAGTGCACAGTTGCTTGCAATTTGTAGTATACTAGGGATGCGAATGGGAGGGTATGCAAATTGTTTCTTTTGTCCATTGTGATTTGCCACTATCTTGTTTCCCTTCCTCCTGTAATTGCCGTGCAAATCCCCATGCTCTAAGCTAGGGAAAGTGCAGTAATGCTGGAAACCCAGTTGTGTGCACAGACTTGTTCAACAGACAGGACTCTAGGTATTTCCTTGACCACAGTAGTCATAAGTTCTTTCTCAATAGATGTATTTCTCTGTGCAATATGAGCAGTATTGAAGGTAGATTAATTTCTCTTCATTATCCAGAAGACATGGCTTAGGGTTGTTTTTTTTTAAATCATATTCTTTTCTAGAAAACACCTCTTCAGATATTCACTCGAAACATAAAAAACCCTTTTCCAGCTGTTCTGTTTTCTTCTTTAGGTTACCTTTTCTTTCTTCATAGTGGTCTCTGTGAATGCACACAAATGGGTTAATCCTGCGCCTGTGCAGGACGTCCGGAAGATTCTAGAGCTATAGAAAAAAGAATCAATTAGCTCCCCCCCGGAGGCTCCCTCTCCTTTCAGTTCCTCTTTTTCCGCCATACCGTTAGGATGTTAGGAAGAGCAGAGCATCTATACTTAAGTATTCTAGCTTAGCTAGCCTTTTATTCTTCTCCTTTTCCCCTGTTGTTGTTTTATTGTTAATCCTTGACAGAACCTGCAAAAAAAATTTAGTTTGCCATCATTCTGTTCTCCCCCCCCACCCCACGTTTCGACATATCCCCTTTTTTGTTTTGTTTTATGGCTCCTCGGGGCTTCAAGCAGTGCGCTGTCTGTTCTCGCAAAATTCCACTTTCAGACGGCCATGAAAAGTGCTTGTTTTTTCTGAGAGAATCACACCTCGACCAGGCCTGCATTGCTTGCAAAGGGTTTTCCAAGCAAGCCATTTAATTCAGATGCCAACGGCTTCAGTCTTTTCTCTACAGGAAGACTCTTTTTCCCGCCATGGAATGCTCCTCCCTCCCGGCACCAACCCTCCACGTTCGGAGGCCTCTAAACAGACTTCTCCTGTTGAGCAGTCGACTTTTACCATTTCTCTTCCTGTGAAGCCTAAGGAAGCCTCAAAACCGCCTAAAGCCAAGGCGTCCTCTCGAGTTGCCCTTCCTGCAAAAAGGAAAATCAATGATAAGTCCAAAAAGCTTAAGAAATCAGCTAAACTGCCTACTGTGCCTCCTCCAGCTCCTTCGATACTGCTCGAGGAGTCTTCGAGGGAAGGGATTGGACTTTCTGATACTGAAGAGCACATTGCTTTAGCCCAGACGGCTCAGGATACCATGTGCATGTCTCCAAACTTGAGCCGATTCGAGGCTGTGCCAGATGCCAGCCGGGCCGTTGCCCCTTCTAGCCCTCGATACTCAGGGCAGGCTGATACCAAGTCTCTCTGAACAGGAGTCTGCCCACGACACTCCTAGGAAAAGTACGGAAAAGCGCAAACATTCCATTCCGTACCAACCTTTAGATGCAGGAGATGAGTATCATCCACAGGGTCCGCCATTTGGCCACCCTTACTACGCTCCGTACCAACCGTATCTGTACCAAGGCTATGGTTACCCGCCAGAGTTTCCAAGCACTTCCATGCCTCAACCGCCATGGTACCATACCGTAGCTCCTCCCGCACTACATCAGCCCCAGGCCCAGATGGATCTCTCAACACCTCAAGTACCGTCGCATAAGAGACATTTCCCCACGGTACCTACAGTGCCTCCCAAACGCGCCAAACGCAGCAGCTGACACTCTTCAGTACGGGCTACCACTCTATTCCAGTCCAGGAGCTCACAATACCGAGCCTTTTTCCATGTCCATGCAGTCTGACATGGACATTGTATCAGAGGATGCGGTACCGCGCCACTCTTCTTCTCTAGCCTCTCAATCCTTCCCAGATGACCACTCTACGGCATCCAGTGAATCAGAGGCTCCTGAGCCAGTTGGTAAAGGCCCGTCTTCCCAGCCTTCTCCAGAAGACTTCTCTTCTTACACACAACTCATCATGTGCACAGCTAAAACACTTCAGCTGGATGCACAGATCTCGCAACAGGAAAGGGACTTAGTCTTTCAAGACATGGAGCAGGACAAAGCCTTCCCTCCTAGTCTGAACCTCATTCCAGCCCTCTTCGAACTGGTTAAAACTTCATGGGACAAATCACCCTTGATGGCTCAAGTCCCTCGCAAAATAGAGCATCACTACAAAACTCATGGGTCGGATTCCGAATTCCTCACTAATCATCCATCACCCAACTCCATCGTGGTTGAAGCCACCCAATACAGATCTCGTACCTGGTCGTTAACAAAGAGGGTAGGAAATCTGACAGTTTGGGCAAGAAGCTTTATGCCTTCGCTGCCCTTTTGATCAAAATAGCCAACTATCAAGCGGCCATGGGCGCTTACCAGAAGCATCTTTAGGACAAAATAATCCCTATGCTACAAACTTTACCTGATCCTTGTAAAACAGAAGCCCTCAACGTTTACGAAGAGGCTAATACCCTGACCAGACAACAGATTTGCTGCAAAACATTCGTAACCATAGGTTTACAGGACGCCTACTTCCACATCTCCATTCACCCGTCTCATCAAAAATTCCTCCAGTTCCGGTTCCATCACGATACCTACCAATTCACCACTCTCCCATTCGGGCTCTCCACAGCCCCCAGGACATTCACAAAATGCATGGCACCAGTCGTGGCTTACCTCTGTACCAAGGGGATAAAATTTTTTCCCTATATAGACGATTGGCTCCTAGTGGAAAACTTCCTACCACGCGGCAGTCTCCGCCACAAACTTCACCCTCTACACCCTAAAGAGACTCGGGTTAAAAATCAACAAGAAAAAGTCCAGCCTGATACCGTCCCAGACCGTCTCCTACATAGGAGCAACACGGGATTCGATTCGCATGAGAGCTTTCCTACCATCTCAGCGAATTCGCAAAATCCAGGCGGCAGCCTTTAAGTTCACACCGTACGAAACTTTGACCGTGCACGATACCCTGCACCTTCTAGGTCTGATGGCGTACACTACCTCAGTGGTACTCTTCGTGAGACTAAAACTCAGACTGCTCCAGTCCTGGTTTCTCACCCAGTACGATCCCATGATGGACTCTCCTACAAAAAAGTTAAGGGTCCCACTTCTCGTAGCCAAGCATCTCATCTGGTGGACCATGCCCAACAACCTTTCACTGGGACGACCGTTCCACCCTCCATATCCGTCTATACAAGTTGTGACAGACGCCAGCCCCTCAGGATGGGGAGCGCACTGCCAGGACCTGCGGGTACACAGCCTCTGGACTTCGCGCCAAAGAGCCATCCACATCAACCAGCTAGAACTGTTGGCTGTCATCAAGGCTTTTCAAGCCTTCCTGCCCCGCATATGAGGGCTTGTGGTACAGTTGGTAACGGACAATACCACAGTGATGCACTACATCGACAGGGCAGGACTTGATCCAGGCCCCTCCTTTGATTTAACTACATTTTTTGGAATGGTGTCGCTCCCACCAATCCCCAAGCAATCCATATTCTGTCCAATTCCCTGGCAGACCGCTTGAGCCAACTACCCACCAGAATGCATGAATGGGACCTCGACCAGAAAGTCTTCCTAGATTTATGCAACCGCTACCGCTGGGGATAGCCCACGACAGATCTCTTTGCATCCCGTCGAAATACCAAATGCAGCAGGTACTGCTCCAGGGCGGGCATAGACGTCTCATCCCTTGGAGATGCCTTCCTCATACTGTGGTCCGGAGAACTAACTTACCTGTTCCTCCAATACCACTTCTCCTCAGGACCACAACCAGGATCATTCAGTACCAAACGAATGCAATCCTCATTGCCCCATGGTGGCCACGCCAACCCTGGTTTGCCCACCTATCGGAAATAACGGAATAATGCACCTACCTCTGATACCATCCCTCCTCTTGCAGAACAACGGGCCCTTCTCCATCCCGATGTCTGGTCTCTTCACCTGAAGGCGTGGAGGATATCCCCAGGTTCCGTGCTGTCCTAGACCAAGCCCAAAAACCGTCTACCTTTCGGCTGTACGAGAACAAATGGAAAGCTTTCACCAAATTCGCCCAAGCCGAAGGCATGGTCACAGTACCGGCATCTCTACGCACGTTACTTACCTTCCTCCTCCATCTCTTCAACCTGGGACTGGCTCATTCCACACTTAAAGTTTACATTTCAGCAATTGTGGCTCACCAACCTCCTTGATCGCACTCCGCCAGGCTCT